AAAATATAGTAATAGTGTTAAGTATAAGAGCTTATTACTTCTTTATAAGGTTAATTAGTAACTTCTTAATATAGTCTTTTTTTTATTATTATCAAAGGATATACTATATATAGTTAATAAGTATAGTAAATATATTATTAATTACTACTACTTACTACTTTACGTTAAGTAGTATATTATACTTACTATAAACCTCTTCTTATTGCCTTATAGGTAATAAGGTAGTAGCTTATAACCTTTGCTTACTTATAAGCTTATTATACTTACTTATCTTAGCTTATGTCTTTTACTTATAGGTATAGTATTATTTACTATTACCCTCTGTTAGCCTAATAACCTCTTAAATATAGGTGTTTTTTTTTTAGTAGACTAGAAGGTGTATATATTTATTAGAGGGATTATTACTAGTAGTATAGATAGTTAAAGGAAAATATACTCTTATAGGTAAATAACTTAAAGAAAAATAATAGGCTATTATATTAGTTACTTATTAATACTATTAGTTAGTAAAAAGAGGAAAAATAATAGGCTATTATATTAGTAACTTATTAACACTATTAGTTAGTAAAAGGAGTATATATATAAAGAAAAAGAAGTTAGTAAGCTAAAAAGCTTATAATAAATAAAATATAGTAGATAATTACTAGTTAGCTATAGGTGTATAAAGTAAAGGGTTTTTTATAGTTAAGAATACTTCTCTAAAGGTAATAAAGCTTATATAATAAATATAAATTAATAAGGTTTCTACTAGTTAAAGGGACTAGTTATAGATTTATTAATTAACCTATTATAATAGGTAATTAGTATAAACTATTATAGTAAGGGTATTTATAGAGGCGTTTTTTTAGTATTTACTTACTTTAGGTATATAAATAATTAACTAGTAATAATTACCTCTTCTTATAGTCCTTACTAATCTATAGTTTAGATAGTAAAGTTAACCTATATAGTTAATAGTAAAGTTAACTACTAATTAGTGTTAGTAATACTAAGGGATAAGTTAATATAGTTAACTATATATATTAGTAGTAATTAATAAATAATAGGGGTAACTATAGTTCTTTATTATATATAAAGAAAAGAAAGATAATTATTATAGGTTAGTTAGTTAAAAAACTAACTTATTACCTATAAATCCTTAGAGAATCTATAGCTAAATATCTAAGGATTTACTAGCAATAAGTTATGAGGGTTAACCTAATAACTCTAATATTTATCTATAATAGTTAATATTATAATAACTGCCTTCTAGAATAATATTACTTATTAATTTAACACTTACTTCTTAATATAAATATATACAGTAGAATCTACTAAGCAAGGTAATATTTAAGGAATATAGATTATAGTACTATAGATAAAAGAAAAAAGCTACTTTTAACTATATAAATTACCCTCTAAGTATACTACTTTATAATATATTATTACTAAAAGAATAACTAATTTAATAAATAGTACTATAATAAAATTAATACTTTTGAAAGGCTAGTAATAATCTAGTAATTTAGAGGGTTTAGATAGCTTTTTCTATATACTTAAGATATATAGTAGTTTATTTAATATAGGATTTAAATACTTATCTAAAGAAGAAGAGAGTATTATTAAAGAAGAAATAAGAGATAAAGAAATAGAAGATTTACAAGAAGTAAAAGAAATAAAAGAGGGTTCTAGTTATTAGATAGTTAGTTATTTTATAGTTACTTATTTTATAGCTTTTTATTATATAGTTAGTTATTATATAATGTACTTAGTAGTACTAAATATACTATATTTTAAGTAATATAATGTTAATTTATTATTATTATTAATATAGTTCTTAATAGTCTTAGTATATCTTAGTTTTTAAGTATATAATATTTTAGGTAAAATATATATAAAATACTATACTATAAGTAAAAATTCTATAATACTATATATAATTAATTTACTAATTTCTAATTATTTTACTTTTTTATACTATATAGTTGTATTTTATGTAAAATATAATATAAATATAATATAATATAAATATAAATATATATATTATATTTATAGTATATTATGTTATATTTATATTTTATGATAATATATTTATATTATATTTTTATATTATATTGTATTTTGTGTTGTTTTTTAAACTCTCTAAGGGTAGTCCTTTAAAAAGTAGCCTTAAGCCTCTTAACTATAAGAAACTACTCTTGTTTTCTTATTAAAAAAATTACTAGACTTATAAGTAATTAAAGTCTAGATAGTATATCTTTTTCTCTTAACCTTATACTTGTTATTTAGCTACCTACTAGTTATAAGACTAGTAAACTAGCTTAATATATTAATTTTTAATATAAGTGTCTTTATAACTAGTTTTTAAATAGTAGCCTTTTTTATATTAAGCTACTTGTCTTAGTAGAGGAAAAGAAGCTTCTTTATAAAGACATTAGTTAAGTATTAAGTCTATATTATATAAGACTATTTTAAGGTATAGCTATAGAATTACTATATATCTATAGGAAAATAGAATATTTTATAGATTTTATTATTAACTTTATCTTTAAGAAGAGATAATATAGTGTAGGTTCTTTTTTTGATCTTATTAATAACTTTATTATTAACTAGATTAATTAGATTATTAATAGTAGATCTAGTAGTAGATTTACTAGAAGAATTACTAGAAACTTTAATAAGATAATCTTTAGCTTTTTTACTAAGTTATAGCTTTTATAGTACTAGCTTTCTAGATAATTACTATACTAGGCTATTACCTTTAGAAGTAAGATCTAGAAAAAAAAGTTAAATAATAATAAAGCTCTTAGTATTAAGGGATAAGCCCTCTTTACTTTACTATATTACTATAATAGTTTAATAACTAAATATAGATTATAAGTAGTATTTATAGTAATTAATTATAGTAACTATAGAAAAAATAATAATAAAAGAAGATAAAGGGTATATAAACCTTATTTTAATACTATAAAAAGGTAAGTAGTAAGAGATTTATATTATCTATAGACCTAGACAGTATATTTACTAAATTTACCTTTAGCCTTACTATTAGTAACACTAAGAGATAGGTTAATATAGTTAACTATATATATTAGTAGGAATTTATAACTAATTAAGGTAACTATAGTTCTCTATTATATATAAAGAAAAGAAAGATAATTATTATAGGTTAGCTAGTTAAATAACTAACTTATTACCTATAAATCTTTAGATAATTTATAGCTAAATATCTAAGGATTTACTAGTAATAAGTTATTAAGATTAACCTAATAACTCTAATATTTATTTATAATAGTTAATATTATAATACTTATATTAAACTCTCCTTAACCTTAACCCTATGTATTTTCTTATTAGAGTATAGCTAATATTAGCCTAATATTAGTTTTACTAATTAGGCCTATATAAGTTAAATTACTTACTTCTAGCCTACCCCCTACTTTAGCCTACCCTTTTATACTAAAAATAGCTAAAAGTACTAATCTATATCCTAAATAACTATAAAATCTTTATTTCTAGTTATTTCTATAATAAATTTATTTTAATTATTCTACTGTATAAGTATTAAAATTAACTATTATTCTTTAGTTAATAGCTATAGAATTTTACTCTATAGTTTTATAATACTAAAATTAAGATTAAGAATATAGTTAATATAGAAATAATAAAAAGAAATAAAAATTCTTATAAATTCCTTAATAATCTAGTTATTTATTATACTAAAAGCCTTATTTCCTAACTGTTTTACTTCTTAAGATATACTAAGTATTACTAATTAACTAAGAAATTTTTATTAGTAAATATTTCTATTACTAATATATTAGTAAAATTCTAGTAAATACTAGTCTTAATAAGTAGAATTAGTTATAGTATATATAATAATTTTAAATACTCTTAAATCTCCTTTTTTAGTCTAGAAATAAAAAAGTTATCTTAGTTTTTAAAAAGCTAGTATATACTAGTAAAGTACTAGTAAACCTTAATAGCTACTTACTTAGCATTATTTTAGAAGATCTACTATAGATAAAGAGATAAAACTTCTTTAATAGCTGAATAAATATAAAATATATCTACAGTAACTTCCTTAGAATTTACTGTTTATAGGTAGGTGTAGTTCTAGATAGGTACTTTTGGCTGTTTTTGGTGTAAAAGGGTGGGCCAAAACAGGGGGTGGGCCAGAAGTGGGTGTTTTGACTTACCCGTGCAATACGTTCCCAACTTCGCCTTGCTTGCGGGCGCACCAGGCCCCTCTTTGCAAGTCACAGCCGCCGAGACACACCTAAAGTGTAGGATCGAGGGCGCCATTTTATGTTTGTAGACACTTGCTTATCCTACAACACAAGCACAACTCTCGAATAGTCCCCACTCGGCACCAGCACTCTAGCTGATCAGCGTACGGAGAGTGCTGTTTCTGACAAGGAGCCTCTCAAGGAGAAATAAGTCCTACTTCCTCGCAAGGAGAGCGCTCTTGAAGCCTTGCAGATCGTCATATTAGTCCAGCGGTTGTCAACTCACTCGTGGATTTCGATGGTTCTCGGTCCTCCGTGTTAATGGTTTGTCACATTTTAGGCTATATGGAAGAGAGGCCCATTATGCGCTCGGTTGACGCAGCAGTGCATTGCATCTCTCTTTTGCTTGCCAATGTTGTCTTGGCTTGGCTTGGCTGACTGTACCCCCCTACCCGGATATCCTCTTTCACATGCCGGCGGTCCCGTCTCGCAGCTCGTTGGAAAAAGGGCGTCGACCGCACAACATCCGACCATCGTACCCATGTGCGAGTAGTGTGTGTAGGTAGTGGCGGGTTCACTTCCACCTGACGACACGGCATAGGCCTCGAGCGTGTTGATTACGTCGTCGTTTCCTGCTTCAAGCCTGCTTCAAGCAGCGTTTGCCGTCATTTTTCTCTTTGTCAGCAAAAACCGAGTATCGGTTGGTTCGGGCAGGTAGTCGCGTGTTGGACGATGCAGCGCTCGTCGAGTTCGCCGTCCCACCCTAAGAGGAGGCAGTTCCATGTGGGGCCAGCCATAGACGCCGCGGACGTATAGAGCGCCCTTCCGGTGACTTCCCGAACCAACGATGCCACCGTCTACCACCGGACAGCCGGATGCGGTCCATCACTGTGGCCGCGATGACGCCAAGCCTGGCTCTCTAGCTCCGGTCCAACTGCGGCTTATTTTCAATTCTGGTCGGGAAATTGATTGTCCAAAATACTGTCATACATCGGCAGCCGCCAGTCGGTAGCCATGTCCATGAAACTGGGGAATAGTTGGCGCTCGCTAGGCATTGGCACACCCCCCGCGGGGCTCATGAAGCTCTGCTCACATACTTTTCTTGGCACGCACTGTTAGTGCGTGCGCATGCACTACACCAAAATCGTTAATAACCCCTTTATTCACCTACCCCCTAAATGTTGGCCCTTAACCACTGAGGGCCGGCGACCCCGAGGCCGCCGCCACGGCCAGGCATACGCCTGGCCTTAAGGGCAATATTAACTGTCTCTAGAACAACAGTAGGCAAAGGTTCCCCTATAAAGCAAAAGAGGCTAGTAGTAACCTTTAGCCTAACTATAATAGTAATAACCTTAATATAAGAAGACTTTACTTATATAGTAATAAGCCTAAAATACTAGCTTAGGCTTAATATATTTATATATAGCCTAATAATAAATATAAGTTAAATATATTAACTTTACCTAGAGGAGATACTTAGTAAAATTATAGCCTTTAATAATAGCTATAGATTTATAGCTAATATACTTATTAAGAACCTATAGTAGTCCCTTTAATAAATTAGGAGTAAGAGAGATTATTAAGCTACTATTAACTACTACTTTAACCTACTATATAGTACCTTTAAAGGAAATAAAGTTACCTAGCTAGCCTAGTTACCTAGGCCTATAACTAAGAACTACTTATAGACTAAATAACCTAATATAAAACTAACTACCTAGTCCTAGCTATAAGGCTAGGTTATAGTAGTCTAAGAGAAGTCTTATAGTTAGAGACCTCCTTAGGGCTAAGGAAATATATAAGGAAGAGTATAGTAATACTATATTAACTATTATATTTTTCTTTAGATACTATACACCTAGGTCTTTTCTTTAACTATTTATAAGGATATTACTAGAATTTATAAGATATAAATTATAGATATTAAGAAGATAACTAAGGTACTAACTAGTTTTATAATTACTATAGATAATTATAGAATAAGATAAGCTATATTTAATAGCTATACTAAGCTATTTAAATAGCTTAGTATAACTACTATTAATAGTACTTAGACCTAGATATTTTATAGGGTTAAAGATGTCTTAGTAATAATATATAACTATAAAGGTAATATAATAGATATAATAGAGGTACTAATCTAAATAAAGGTCTATATTATAATATAATAGTGCCTAGAGAAGTACTATATTATAAAAGGTATAGCTAATTAGGATAACTAGACATAGATTATTATACTTAAGGAAAAAGTAAAGCTATTTAGACTCTTAAATAGCCTACTATTATAATAACTTTAAGATAGGTTTAGACCTATATAATATATAATCTACTTTAACTAGTATAAAGCTAGACCTTATACTAAACACTAACTATATAAGAACTATAGGACACTAGAAATAGACTATAGTAATAAACTTTATAAAAAACTACAGTAGTATACTAACTATAAAGAACCCTTCTAAAGCTCTTATAACTACCTATTATAGCTAACTAGAAAAAGTAGTAGTATAACTTAGCTAATAAGGAGTTAAAAGTAAGTAATTAGACAAAGGAGTTAGAAATAGTACAAGGTAGCTTAGTAAAATACCTTAGTACTCCTTACTTAGCTAATAGATAAGTAGATAAACAAGAGCCTAGGGCTAAAGGCCTAGTAGTAATAAGCTATTAATAATATATATAATAATAAGCTAGATATATTTTAATAAATTAATAAGAAAATAGAGGATATATTAAAGGGAAGTACTATACTAAATACTTATAAGCTTAAACTAGGCACCTTAGTACCCCCCTTATTACTTCTTCTTTAATAGTAGTATAACTATAAATACTCTATATTAACACTAGATAATTAAGGCTAATATATAATATAGCCTTTACCTTTATAGACTATAAGTAAGTAAATATTATTATAATCTAAGAACTATAGTACTTTATAAATAAATACTTAAAGACTAAGACTATACTAAACTATATACTCTTTTTACTAGTAATAAAGTAATAAGATATAGAAATAAGACTATAAGTACTAATATATATCTAGAAGATATATAATAATACTACTACCTTTAATATTACCTATATACTTATATAGGATATACTAAGGATAATAGTATAAGAATAATACTACATTAATATCTATAGGGAACCTTAGACAAAGGTTATCCTAGATATACTAGAAGTATAGACACTACTATAGAATACCCTTATTATAGGTAACTTTAATACCTAGTATTCTATATAGTAACTAAGGATTACACTAAGCTAAGGGGCAAAGTAATTAGCTAAATAAATAGATAATAATTATATACTACTTATTAGTCCCCTAGGTGTCCTTATATATAACAAAGAGAATATACTAGACCTAGTCTTCTCTAGTATACTACTAGTAATATTATAGCTAGCTAAGTACCTTTACACTAGCTTAGACTATATAACCTTATTAATAATAGTAAACTCCCTTATTAGGCTAATACTAAAGAGTAGAACAAAGGTATTACTTAATACTATTTTAAAGATCTAGAAGTTTATAAAAATAATAAAATAAACACTTTAGGTTCTACTAGATAGTATAAATATAATAGCTAACCTAGACTAGTTAGCTACTACACTTATAAAGATACTATAAAATATAGTAGTAATAGTAAGAACTTAATAAGTTAAAGGGAAGTCTATAGCCTAGTAAGATAATAACTATACACTAGCTAAAAAAGAACACTATACTATAAGTGTTAGAAGTATAAGAACTAAGAGTATCTCTTATACTCTTAATACTTCTTTATCTTATATTTCCTCTATTATAGAGGTTATATATATATAAGATATATATATTTATAATCTACTAACTTAGTAGATTAATATATATATTAATTACGTAAGTATGTCTAATTACGTAATCACTAGAAGATAGGAGAAGGTACTAGAATGTCTAAGAAACCTCCTCCTAACACTATCTCTTTAACAAGGTTACTGCTTTAAGTTAAGGTTATTTAACTAGGGTTATTAAGTTATATAATCTTAGGTTAATTTATAAGTAGCTTACGTAAGTATAGAATATTCTAGTAAGCTAGATAAGTCTATATAAGGGCTAGATTTCTTCTTGTTTCTAGTCTATCTTATTCTCTCTCTAAGTAAGTAAGTAAGTAAGTAAAATAAATTAGTTAGTAATAAAATAATAAGACTAACTATTATACTCTCTTTATATCTATATCCTTATATCTCTATATCTACCCCTGTTATCCTATATTCTTACTTCTATAGGATATATCTTTATATAAGAGATATACTCTCTTATATACTCTTAGGCTATTATTCTCTCTAAGAGATCTAAGCCTACCTATTATACTAATAGGTTATAAGCCTAGGTTATATACCTAGGGTATTTCTATTACTATAAGAGTTATATATACTCTTTAGTAGCCTATTTATTTATTTATAAGGTAGATCCTTTATACTATTTTTTCTTTATAAGAATATTAAGATAGAAAAAGTAAGCCCTTAGTATTTCTTATAACTAAGAGACAGTATTTAATATTTACTAAACAGAGGTTATATAAGTCTATTAGCAGTAGTTATAAAACCTTTTAACTGTCTTATATATCTTATAAAGATATATATTTATCTAAGGAGGCAGAAAAAGTAAGACCTTTATTCTATAGGTTAAAAATACTTATCTATTTCTAGTAAAAATACTAAAAGAAAATAGTAGATCTTATTAAGGCTACTATAGGCTATTTAATACCTTAAGAATAATATCTCTAAGGAACTAATAATTAGAATTCCTAGATTACTTTTATCTATCTCTTCTTTAAACTACTTAAGTTAAATATCTATTTTAAAGAAGAAGGTAAATATAAGAATATATCTAAAGAATAGAAAATATAGTCCTTATTAATTATAAGGTAAAACCTTTAAAAAGAACCTTTATCTTTAGTATTTAACTTAAAAGATCCTAAGGATACTTTAAATATACTAAAGTCTTCTTATAAAGGAACTAGCCCTGTTCTAAGGTAATAGTTATACTTAGAATTTTATACTATTAAACTAGAGAATTATAATACTTTAAATAAGTTTATTAGCTCCTTTAAGGGTTATATCTCTAAGCTTAATAATATAGGGGCTAAAATAGAAGATATAGACTAAAAAATAGTCTTTATAGCTGCTCTAAGTAGTTATTTTCCTATATAGGCAGAAAGATAGAGAAGTACTTTAAGAACTAAAGAGCCTTCTTCTCTAGAAGCCCTTATTAATAATATATTAGACAAAAATAGGCATAAAAATAATACACCTATGTCTAATAATTATAATAAAAGCCTTTCTTCTTTTAATAAAGGTAATTTTATTAAAGAATATAAGTATCCTTTTAATAAGGATAAGAAACCCTATAAATAAGGAAATAAGGGGTTTAGAAGACCTAAAGAAAAGGTTAATAACCTAGATTTAAACCTATAGCCTATTAAAGGCAGAGAAAAGGTAACTTTTACTATAACCTACTAGACTAACTAGCCTCTAGAAGAAGATAACTAAGAAGGTTAATATTACACTTATAAGGCCTATTTTAACTATCTAAGTTAACAAGATAACTAGTTATATAATATAGGTTTAATAGTCTATATATTAAATAATAAGGACTATTTTATAGACCTATTAACTAAAAGAAATATTCTTATAGTTAATATAGGTGCAAGACTTATTAAACCTAAAGGAATAAGAACTATAATACTTCTTATATACTTTAAAGAGGAAATTAACTATATAAGGTTAAATAATACCTTATATATACTAGAATTTCCTATATCTATATTTTTAGGCCTTCTACACTATAAAGGAGAAGGATTTCTTATTAACTAAAATCTCTGTAATAGTAATAGAGAGCCCTTTGCTAATATTAATATAGTAAAGAGAGGCTTTTATCTAAATATTGCTAGACCTCCTAAGAGTAACCTTTTATATAATATAGAAGAAAGCTCTTTTATATCTCTAGAAGATACTAGAGATAATATATCTTCTAAAATAGAAGATAATACCTCTTTAAAAACAAGAGAAGAGGTATATACTATAACAGAAGAATAGTATTAAAAACTAGCTTATCTTTTTTACCTTTACTTAGTTAAAACAGCTAAGTTAACTAAGGGAATTCCTTTAGATAAACTAAAGGAAGAAGACTTAAACTGCCCTAACTATATTTCTTCTAAGTTAACTAGGTAATAGCCTAAGATT